GAGACCCTGGAGAACCTCAAGGTTGGCCATAGAGAACCTCAGTGTTGGCCCTTGGAGAAACTCAAAGGAAGCTATGAAACCCGAGAGAAACTCAATGAGGTCCATGAGACCCTAGAGAACCTCTACTGTGGCCYWGGAGATGCTCAATGGGGTCTGCRACACCTTGGAGAAGCTCYGTGAGACTCYGGAGAACCTCAATGGGGTCTGTGAGACCATGGAGAACTTCTATGTGACCCTTGGAGAACCTCAGTTGCGTGTACGAGACCCTAGAGAACCTCAATGGGGTTTAGGAGACCCTGGAGGACCTCAACGTTGGCCTTGGAGAAGCTCAGTGGGGTCTGCGACACCTTGGAGAACCTCTATGTGACCCTTGGAGAACCTCAACTATGTCTACAAGGCCCTAGAGAACCTCAACGTCGGCTTCGTCCCAACCTGGAGAACCTCAATGGGGACTATGAGACCCTAGAGAACCTCAACGTTGGCCTTGGCCCCCTTGGAGAACCTCAATGTCCCTCCTTGGTCCTGGTGGCCGCCAGAACCAACCGCCCTCATTGCAGACACCTGCAATGGCCCAAGGACCTTGCCAACCTCCCAAGAACCTCCTTGATGTCCCCAACCTCCCAAGAACCTCCTCAACTTCAGAAGAGCCTCTGTGACATCTCAAGAACCTCCTTGATGTCCCCAACGTCCCAAGAACCTCCCTGGTGTCCCCAGAACCTCCTTGATGTCCCCAGAACCTCCTAGAGGTCCCCAAACCCTCCTGAACGTCCCAAGAACCTCCCCAAACCCCAAGAACCTTCCCAAGATCTCAAGAACCTCCTTAATGTCCCCAATGTTCCCAGCACCTCTTAGATGTCCCCAAGCCCTCCCCAATGTCCCCAAACCCTCCTGAACGTCCCTAGAACCTCTTTGATGTCCCCAACTTCACCAACCCCCTCTCAACCACCCCAACCTCTCCCCAAAATGTCAAGAACCTCCCCAATGTCCCCAACCTCCCCCCAGCACCTCCCCAACGTCTCCGGAACCTCCTCCCAATCTCCCCGACCTGCTCCCAACACCTCCAGAACCTCCCCAGGACCTCCCCAACACCCCCAATGTCCCCAGAACCTCTCCAGAACCTCAACCTCCTCCCAGTATCTCAAGAACCTCCCCAAAACCTCCAGAACTTCCCTGACATCTCAAGAACCTCCCCAGAACCTCCTCAATCTCCTCCCCACATCTCAAGAACCTCCTCAGACCCTCCTTAGCCTCCTCCCAACACCTCAAAAACCTTCTCCCAAGCTCCCCAGGACCTCCCAAACCCTCCAGCACCTCCCCAGAACCTCCTCAACCTCCTCCCAACATCTCCAGAACCTTCTCAGCCCCTCAAGAACCTCCTSAGAACCTCCCAACAGCTCAAGAACCTCCTGAGATCCTCCTGAGAACCTCCCCAGCACCTCAAGAACCTACCAGGAACCTCCCCAGCACCCAAGAACCTCCCCAGAACCTCCTCGACCTCCTCCCAGCATCTCAAGAACCTCCTCAACCTGACAAGAATCTCTCTAAAACATCCCCAAGACCTC